ATATATGAATTGCGGTTTTGTTGGCGTTTCGTGCGTGATTTGAAGACGCCACCCAGTAGTGGTTTCAGCAGATTCTTCAGGCGGCGCGAGGGTGAAACTTTGGATTTCTGCTGCACATTGGACCAGTGTTGCTGAAGGAGTGAAGTGTGTTGATTGGTGGTGCTGTGTTGCAAAAGCGTTTTATTGCCGGCCGATAAGTAGCTTGAATTCTTGTTGCAATTATTATTGCAGTCCTGGTGTTGAATTGACTTGTTGGCAATGGCAGTAGACATGTTTGGTTTTTGGATGATTGATTGATGAGTTATTGAATCAATTTTATTGATCTTCGAATTGCGCGATGACTTCAATTTCTTTACTTTCTTCTTGAAAGTTGTTGCCACTTGCGTTGCTCAAACGAGAATGTTATCTCTCACCGCTCCTACACAGCTTCTTATAGTTTCTTCGCCTGCGTTGAGGTGTAAGAAATGAGAGCGTCGGTGCGTAAACAGCATCTCAGCCAATCAGCATCGCCGTTTGAGCGGCAGGTGCGCGCCAAGAAAAATTCCCAAGCATCACACAACACTGTGCGGCTGCTGCAATGGGATACTTTCCGTTCAGCGCAACTGAGCGTCGGTGCGTTGCACGTGCATGATTGCGCTCTCACAAGGATCAGCAAATAAGAAAAATTAAGGATCGTTAGTGTTTTGAAAGTTACCTGCAAGCAGGTCCTTTGCAAAATAACACGTATGTATGTACATGCGTACGGAGGAGCGTGAGAAACTCTTTGCTTGTTTTGTTAAGAAAGAAAAAAGTGTGTATAAATAAAAGAAAAAACGTAAAGGTTCTCTTAGTTTGCCAATTTTTTTTATGCTTTTTCTTTACGCACTCCTGACCGTTGAAAACGTGTCCTACTTGCCAACAAACGTATTTTACGTGACTCGGCGCTATTATTATCCTGCTGATGGGAAGATGCTGCTGTGCTGTTGATGGCGATGAGTCAACTCCTCTACTGATCACTGCCAAGACAGCTCATGCTCGCTGGCTCGTTCGTAGCGTGGGAACGTTATTTCGCTGCTATTAAATCAAATTGCTGTTGCCTTTTGTTGCGGTCCTTCTTAATTTGATCCTTTGCTGCTGCTGCTGCGGTACAGCTATGCACGATCCTTGCTACTCTCTTCGGTGCTTTGGTTCGCTCCTTCGCTGTTGTTATTCATTTATTTTTATTGATGCTGATGTTGTTAAGACTACTTCTCGTTATTGGTATTGTTGTTGTTTTGTAAATTAATATCGCTGCCATATGTTGCCGTTTAGCTGGCTTCACTCACAAGTGCTTCTTCATGGTTTTTGTTGTTTACTTTATTTTTATTTTCATCTTTAGTTTTGGGGTTAATTTGGCTCTTGCATGAATTTTAAACGTTGCACTGACTGATAGGCGCACACTGAACGAAATTAACATTTATTGTTGCTGCGTTGGTCTTAAGAAGTATAGAATTTGTCTTTATATGTATGTATTTTCAAATTCTAGAAGCTCTTTCAAAGCGTGCGAGTCTTCCCTGCATGAAAGCGTTTCTCTCTTTCTTTCTGAGGTGCAAAACGCTCAATCACTTTCAATAAAATTGACCTTGTCGCAACAAATGAAATCAAACTACAATAAGGCACTTGCTTCGTTAGTTCATATCTTAGAAGAGGTTGAATTAACCGACTAAAAATAACACCGGCACACCAACTTCTTTGATGAGCCTCTTTGTGGCGGCACACTCACTAAATTCTCCTCCTGTTTAATTCCACAGCTTGAGTAGCCGAAACCGTTTGTTTTTCTACATTTTCGAAACCTATGAGTTACCATGCCTTCCCCCAAAGGTATTCCAAAGCGTCAGACGTTCGCAATTAAAGTGTTTCAGTGTTTCTTCCACTCCTACAGCTTTTATGAAAATCATAGTGTGAAATTCTGAAGCTTCAAGCGAGCGTCTAAACAGTTTTACGCTAAACCCCTCTCCAACTTCCCAGCTAAAATAGCTGCTTTAGTTACCGATTACTTGCAACAAATCGATACCTGGTTAATGAATCCCAATTTGGTATGCTGGCGGATTGGGAGGAACAACTAAATTGCTGCAATTTCGCTGCTCGTGTTACCAAGCTCTGGTTCACTCTAAGAGCTCTGTCGAACTCTTCAATTTGTCACTGGTAACTCTAATCATGCCTATGCCCAACACAGGGCAGTTTTATCGACTGATTTCTCTTCTTACCGCAGCAGTGAAAACTCCTGAGACCTTCTTTCACCCGACCATAACACACCTACTGACCCCAGAAGCGTACCAACAAGACTCGTAAAATGTATTACTGGAATAAATTGAGATATCCTTTACCATGCAAGGGCTGAAAAGGTAGTCGTGAATCATAAGCCACCTACGGTATTCTGACTGAACCAGCCAATTATTGTATTGAGAAATGGCAAGGATTTCTGGAATTCTAAGGTAAACGGCCATCTCACGGACCTTTTATGCTTCTTTCCTGCCTGAACCTTGACTTTTGCCCCTACTAAATCGACTGCCGACATGAATCGAGGCCGTTTGACAGATTGGTCTCATCCCATGCACACTCAGCTGCGATCGCAATTAAGCACATAGCGCCGCAAAAAGTCTCTGAATTCGCTTGACGGCAGCACTACGGGTATAGAAAAAGAACCTACATGAAACCACTGACGAAACTGGATCGTATGACACTGAACGACATTAGGTTGTAGTAGCTGTCCTAATTCAGATATTAGATGATGACACACGTATGCCGTGTTGGATCGTAGTATACATAGAAATATAACCAATTTATGAAGTGTTTGTAAATCACAGACCTTCGTAAACTCAAGTTCAACAGATCGTGGGAAAATCACTGATGGAGACATCGCCGCCATAGTTTAGCTCAGTCAGTGTGCGACTTTCTCGATTTCTTTGTCGTCCTTACAACTGCGGCTGTAGTTGCTCGCTGGAAATTCCATTTAGCTGACATGTAGCCCATTAAGTAGTGACCAGTGAAGAGAATGAGGACTCTTGAACACTCTCTGAGCCAGATGTGTTCAGACATTCTACAAGGTGGTTAGGTTATAGTCGCTGCTTCCGTGCAAGTACACAGAGGCACAAGTAGGCTGAAAGAGCCCATTGTGATACCACTGGCGGAACCCATTTATTTACTTCCTTCTGAAATTAAATCACCGCTGAATTCAAGATTGTAAGCAATCTATAAAGTACTTTTTGATGGATTGGTTGCCAAGGCGGGACAGTGGTAGCGATATTGTTCGATTGTCAGCACTTCTTCCTCGTCAGTGCAGCTGCGACATAAGTAAATAATTGAATATTCCAACCTCTTTCCATGCGTGCCCATGTGGTAGTGCCCGGTTAGTACTACGACTACCAATCTGAGAGAAGAGCGCTCAAGCCGAGTGAGAGCTTCAGATCGCTTTTTATTAATTTTGGCCGGTTTTGCTGATAGTCTGATAGGAGGGGAGCGATCAACGGTCCACCTGGTGTTTAGGGTATGTGCACGTCCCGAGCTGAATTGATCACGAACATTTCCGTTTCTTTCTATGCCAAATCATCGGCCATGCAGTTACCAAAAAAGTCTCTGCGCCCCAGGAACATTAAAATGCCATCGATGCCTACTTTTAACGTTGTTCCGTTGGATTTTAGAGATTTAAGGCAGCCTGGCTGTCAGAATATAAAGTGATAGACCGTTCTAGAAGTGCGAGAGCTGTTACACACCGATTGGCCTCCATATTGGCGGACTGGTAAGCGAAGACGGAGGTTTACTGCGAGTTCATTGCAGTGAATCCCACTGTCTACTATTTCGTTTAGCTTGGCACCATCTCGGTATATATGCAGATAGCCATCGACTTTGAACCTAGGTCTGTGGCACTTTACCATTCGTTCCTTTCTGGGATTCTTATGGATAATTAGTTGTCTAAACAGAGAGAGCAGTCGTATAATCTAGGCTTCACCTCGGGATCGCATTTAGCCTAGCAACATGAGGAGCATACACATTGTGTCCGTTCCAGTTGGCTAAGGATAGCGACTTGTTAAACGCCGGCTACCACACGGTGCCCACGTAGATGAGAATGCGTCTTATCACAGTTGTGTACATATATGTAGTGTTTTTTCCCACTCTTTACCCTTAGCCATCTTACAGGCGTACCGTGCGGTAATAGATGTTCCGGAGCGATCTTCGATGCTTTGGTAACGGTCGAGTTTCCTGTCTAGAATAAACGCCAGGTACTTTACATTGGTTGATAGAGAATTTATACCCCGTTTAATGAGGGTGGTTGGAAGAGAGAAATTTTATGTTTTCTCGTGGAGAGCGCCATCTCGGCCTTGGTAGGAGTGGATCGTCTGCTAATCTTTTTTGTTTGCCAGTTCAATGCAATATGCACTAAGCTATAATTTACCAGATACCGCTAGCACCCTGGAAAATATTTTAAGGCCGTAAGGGATGTGAATACTCTTGCCAATCATCTGCTACGAAGTCAACTGGTATGTGTCTCTAAACCGGTACCCATATCACAAGAGTTTTATTTTTGGCTGCGAGATCATTAAAAATATTTCTGCACTCGACTGGGGATTTTAGATGAATAGATATAATCCATAGTTGATGAGATTTTAAAATCTGATAGCCAGGCTGGTTGTAATTACTAAAATAAGACGATAACTCTTATTAAACACTTCTCACATTTTTTTCCCAGTGTACG